CACAATCTATTCAGATTATGTTCTGTTATCTCCCATTGAATCCCGTTAAGATCCCATCAACATCCCATTGAAATCCAGTGAAAATCCTATTTTTTACACATCAAATCCCATGAAAATCCCATTAACATCCCATTAAAATCCCATGAAAATATATATATATGGCAGTGTGTCAAAACCTTGTACCCCTGGTGAACATCAAAATAGCTGGTAAATGGATGCGCATCCCCCTAAAAATGGTATTAATAGGTATTGATCCATAGCCATATATAAATCCAACCAGTCCGCCTCCGGCTCGTCGAGCAAGGACCTGTACATGCCACCGCAGCACCTGCACCTCGTTGCAACGTGTTTTAGCCCCAAAGATGACTGGGATGTAGAGATTTTCATAGGGATACCCTCTGGTTATGACTAACATAACTATGGAAAATCGCCATTTTATAGCTAGGTAAACCCAGGTAAACCATCTATTTCTATGGGCCATCTATACCATGGCGAACTGTTAAATAACCAGAGGGTAATTGATTTTACCATGTATCAATGGGAGATCTCCAGGATCCTAAATTGGAGGTACGTAAACGTACCATATTTTTGGCCATATTTTCTGGGGATATTCCCTGAAATTGAGGCCTGAAAAATAGGCCTTATATATGGTAGGTACCTCCAATGAATCGGTTCCTGAAATGGTCATTGAATAGGGGTACCCTCTGGTAGACATACAAAAAACTATGGAAAGATCCGCCATTTTTAATAGGTAAACCCAGGTAAACCATCTATTTCTATGGGCCATGGCTTCCATGGCTATGTTAAATAACCAGAGGGTACCCCAAATCATCCAAACTCAGACTACTTTAGTATTGAAACATATTGAAAGCCATGGTGACTTGGGGTAGCCATATTTTAGGAAACATCCATGTGACTTTTCGAAGATTTTTTAGAGATGTTACTGGGAGATTTTCTCTATTTGTTTGGGGGTTGCTATAATCGATGACACTTTTCGAACCATTTTTCTTTGGGGTTGCTAGTTGCAAAAAATCTTCGGCCTCTGACTTTTCCGAAAAGCTACACATTTCTGACCTTGTTTGGGTTAAGAAAAAACCTGCAGGGATACAAAATTGTGACCACTTCTGATCAAGTGGTACCACTTGATCTTGTTCCAAAAAGAGCCAGATGGAGCCTCAAAAAATGGGGAGCCTCCAAAAATATATAAATCATTCATGTACAATTAATGTTTTACTGATTAGCAATCTATAATGACCCAAGTTCCACAATTTGATCCTAAGATCGATCCTCCATGGCACCATGGTGCTGGTATACAAAAATTGGTGATCAATGTGGGGCAAATGTTGATCATGTTGGTAAAACAATGTCATAAACCCACCATCCCACAGTCATGACCATTGTTATAGGTGGTATAAACTTACCATTCCCAGTCATGAGGGGTTTATTAAACCATTGTTTTTCCCACATTAGATCCCATGATATCCTACTGTTTCGAGCTTTCCTAAACTGGGGGTACCCCAGTTTTAATCCATTTATAGATGGATTTTCCATCATAAACCAAAAAATAATAAACCAAAAAACGAAAACTAATGAGTTTCTGGTCATACATCATATATGTTCTATAATACTATTACATATAGACCAAATAATGATCATTATCCTCTGGTAAACTAACAGTTTGCTATTGAAAATAGCCATTTAGTTCGTTAATTAACGCTTTAAAAAATAAAAATAAACTCGATCTTTACATAGCGAACTGTTAGTTACTATATGGTGATGTCATGATGTCCCATTTTACCCATGAAAAATGGTGATTTTTCCATATTGAAAATGCCGACGGCACGTCTCGTTCCACAGAACCCGTTGGTTGATCACCTGAGCCATTCGACGACATGTAGCGACAAGTTATGACTCGTTTAGTATAATATGATACTATTCTATATGGAATGAATATGGAACTAATATGGAATTAATATGGAATTATATTTAGTATGACTCGTTATTCTATATGGAATTAATATGGAATTATATTTAGTATGACTCGTTATTCTATATGGAATTAATATGGAATTATATGATTATATCTGGTGATAGTGTTGGTTATATGAGTTATATGGAACTATGACTTATTCTTTTTTGGAACTACTGGTTGGTGGTTGACCTACCCCTCTGAAAAATGTGAGTTCGTCAGTTGGGATGATGAAATTCCCAATATATGGAAAAATAAAATTCATGTTCCAATCCACCAACCAGATATAGTATATCACTCAGTTATCTATTAATATTTTAAGTTATTACGAATGAAAATATTTGAGTTGGATTCAGAAAACTATGTTTAGTGATATATATATATATAGTGTATATGTTGTTACTATTATTTTACTTGTTTAAGTAAGTTTATCACAATTTTAGAGGGATTATTTTACTAACTTCTACCTCAGTTTGTAAACGTAACTGTCCTAATGAAACACCAACAAAATGTCGTCACAAATACTTTTTCAGGCGTTCAAAATCCCACTATTGGGTACATTTACACATGTGGAATCTATGGAAGGAAAGCAAACCTCCAAACATCTCCAAAAGGTACCCTCTGGTAATTTAACATAGCTATTGAAAATGGCCATTTATAGTGGATTTACCCATTAATAGCATGGTGGATCTTTCCATAGTTATGTTAGTCTACCAGAGGGTACTTGACCTTAAACAAGCAGAGAGAAAAACCATAAAAACCATGGATCACCTTGATCAAATCCCATTAAAATCCCATTTGGTCAACTTTGGTCAACTTTGTGTGGCACAAAACTTTTTGCACAGCGATAGGTGATTCGAAAAAACTGCTCCTCTGTTGGGAAAAAATCGGGAGGGGATTTTCCAGCTCGAAACCGACACTTTTGAGAGGGTACAAAATGTCTAAACATAGAGATTTTCCTCTTCGAAATGTTGGGTTATATATATATATATATCCCAGTAGAAAAGTATCCATGACATATCCCCATTGTTTTTATCGGTTTCATCATATGAAATTCCCGGTATCACCGTGACATTCCACTACTCACTAAAGTCACTAAACCAAAATCCCCATTCAACATCAACTGCGGAGGCTAAGCGGCTAAATCCATCATCATTCGTAGACGATTTTCCCAGCTAGAAACCTCCATTTCCATTCTATTTCCATGTTCCATGATTTTCTATGATTTCATAATTTCAAGATGATCTATATACATATGTATATGTAGATGATCTATAGATTATCGATAGATGATCTATAGATCATCTGTAGATGATCTACCCTCTGGTAAACTAACATAACTATGGAAAATCACAATTTTTAATGGGTAAATCCACTGTAAATTGCCATTTTCAATAGTTTTTTGTATGTTTACCAGGCCGGGTATAGATGATCATTGGAATTCCTCAATCTTTAGACAATTTACCCTCTGGTGATTTAACAGTTCGCCATGGTAAGCCTCCATTTATAATATGTATAATCATAGTAGATTATTATATTCATGCCATAGTAGATTATATTTATATATACCCTCTGGTTATTTAACATAGCCATGGAAAATTGCCCATAGAAATAGATGATTTTCCCAGCTAGAAACCCTCATTTATGGTTGGGATTTTCCATGGCTATGTTAAATAACCGGAGGGTATATATAAAAATATATATCTATATATATTGTCCCAGTTGTATGATTTATAGATGATCCAAGTCCACCGGATTTCCAGCTGCTGGACGTCGAACCACGTCGAACCACGTCCAAGTTGCCAGCAGCACCAGTGTACAGCGAGGGAAAGATTCCGCCTCGGCGAAGAAGGATGAAGAAGCCATGTTTTTTTTTTCAATGGCTGAAATCGATTGAAGGAAGCATTGTTATATATAGATGACCTATAAATGATGTTATATAGATGACCTATAAATGATCTTTTTGGTTTTTTATAGATTTATGATGATTTATTGAAGCTACCTTTCCCACAAAAAGATATGAAAGATCTAAGGGGATATGCCCCCAATCCACAGACAATTGGGCGATAAGTCCCCTGGAGGTTATTTTTGAGTCCCAAATGGGAGCAATCGATGTTATTTTTGGATGAGAAAAACGATGCAAATCAAACCGAGAAACCGAGATATCTCGATGATTTCAAAGCGAAGCAATCAAATTATTCAAATTCCAATGGGATTATGATCGCAAAAAGTATAGAAAGTCATCAAAAGGTGTCAAAAAGTCTTCATCAAAACGAAGCCTCATCCCAAAGGTGCACTGAACTTTTTCGGGAGAGATCACGATTTTTACACCAACTTTGGGGATAGTTCCATGTGGCGCAACATGCTCCCAAGCCCAAAAAAGATGCCATTGTATTCGTGTGCCACCAGGAATCCTGGGATGGTCAATGATGACGTCTGGAATTTCCATCACTAACTTCCATCCGATTTTTTTTTCGGCATCGTCATGCACCGATGACATGGCTATGAGATGCTGGTCTTCACTCATCCCCATTATATATATATATATATATACCCTCTGGTAATTTAACGTAGCTATTGAAAATGGCCATTTATAGTGAGTTTTCCCATGAAAAATGGTGATTTTCAATAGCTATGTTAAATTACCAGAGGGTAATATAGGTGGATTAATATATGTGAATACCAACTAAATGACACTAAAAGTAGACTAAAGGTATCCAAAAACTATAAAATCACCATCGTTGAAAACGGTCAAAGAAAATCGCCATTTTCCATAGCTACTAAAATGTTTACAAATTAAATCATCCAATCATCCCGTTCCATGAATATCCACTAATCTCCCATTAAAATCCAATGAATATCCACTAATCTCCAATCAAAATCCCATAAAAAACCCATCAAATCCCATGAAATTCCCATTTATATCCCATTCACATCCCATTTTCCATCGTTATCCACTCATCATCCCATTCTAACTCCACCAGTTTTGCCCTCCCCAGTTTCAATCAATTGCCTTAACAGGCCCTAACCCCTAACCGGGCCGTTGCCGTTGCCGCCGGGCAACGAAATGGTTCTGGATCATCTCGCAGAGGATCAGATCCGATTCTTGGCTCATTGGGCTCTCAGCATCAATGACCTCCAACTGAGCGATGGCCTGCTTCCGGGCGATCTCCTGGCGTCGATGGCGATGGCGGTGTGGCGTTGTGGCGATGGGTGGGTGGCTTTGTTGGAATGGAAAAAGGTCTGGAAAATTAAACATCCAAAAGAAGCTGCATGGATTTTGTGGGTTGGTTTTTTGGGAGATGTTTAATAGCTGGGAGCTGAAAACTCTGTTGTTCTAAGCGGTTTAATGGAGTATGGGATGTTAATGGGATCTCTATATATCCAACAATTTTCATGGCATGGTTTACACTTTGGTCATTGCCATGGCTGGGAAACCCCCGAACAGAAAAATTCAGCTTTGGTTCGCTGTGAAAATCATCAAACTAAATGGAGGATCTAAATGGATCTAATATCAAATAGGGAGAGCATCAAACATGACCCCAAAAAAATAGCTTCAGCATCAATGCCCCCGATTTTTCTCGGAAACGGAAGAGTTTGATGTTTATCAAAGCATCTTTCGGGGGGTCGGAGATGGGATCCAACCATGGTTTTTCACACATCGGATAGGGGATTCAAGCAACATGACTCACATGTGTCGCCCCAAACCAAACCAAACCTGAGTTCTTTGGGGTTCAAAAAACGTCACGGGGCACGTCTTTTTCGGTGACTTCGACAAAAATGGACTGGCGTTGAATTTCCTATAGCTCAATCAGTTCCCAATCCACTCAGCTAGCGACTGGTAGTGAACCACTGACGAACTGCAGCATGAGCAGCAAAGCCAATACCTTGGTTGGGATCAACCTTGGAATATCCATGGGGAAATCTACAAAAAAAAACAACTTAAATACTTGGACATACTTGGACAATTATTGAAATAATTGGACTCCATAATTGGAATAAGAATCTTGGACAAGAAATGTGTAATTCTGTGTTCTTGTTTTTCGGATCAAATATCTACAACCAACCCAGCTTGACGGTTGTGCCTTCAATTCGCCAGACGGGCCCACCGTTCAGCCAAGATGCAATGATACAAATCTTCAGGATCAACCCCAGCATGGACTGGTAGAGCACTGTACAGGATGCCTAGCAAAATGACGAGGTGGCAAACTGATGTGGCAATTGGCGACCATCAGAAACAACAAAAAAACGGAGATGAATGATACCAAGTGGTGTTTTTTTTCCACTAAATCTTCAGTGAATCATGTTGCCACTATTTTTCGAGAAGCAAATGATGTGTGTTGTCCAAAGGATGTGGTTTTGACCTTAAATCAGACCAGTTGCTTCAAAAAAATACCCTCTGGTAAACTAACATAGCGAACTGGAGAATGGCCATTAAAAAATAGATGGTTTACCTATTAATAGCATGGTGATTTTCTATAGCTATGTAACAAATTACCAGGCCCGGTCACAACTATTTCCCATTCCCATTCCATCCATTCATCCAGGCCTTCATGGTGGTGATATCATCCAAACAACGGCGGAAAGCTCTCTGGCCCATGTCCATGTCCCAGCAGGAGCGAATCTGCGACATCCGAAAGATTCGCGAAGTCGTTGATCCATGGAAGAAATCACCATGACGACTGGATGGATTTTTCTGGGGTACCCCCTAATGAGACAACGGAAACCGGAAATATGTAAAATTGATATGGTCATATCTTTTATCAATGGCCGTTCTATATCAACCACTCATATGCTTTCCTCCGGATATCGAACATGGCCATGCAAACTCCACCATTTAGTTCGATGATTTTCCAACTAAAACCTCCATTTCATAGGGGGTTTTCCAGCCAGCCACGTTTGATGACACCGGAGGGCCACCATGTTCACGCAAAGCCATGGATTTTCCATATCGTTCTGGTTAAGAGAAGCGTCGCTTAGACTCACCATATCATGGTTGGAAGACATCCCTACTTTTCTTACTAACACCACCATGCTATCCCGATAATTGTACATGTATAGAGTATACATATCGCATATATCATATACCACGAAAAAGAGCTCAAGGTAGGCAAAGAAAAAAATGATCTTCTGACTGCTTAATAGTTATCTATAACTAGAGTCATATCAACGATATTGTCTGGTTGGTGGTTGACCTACCCCCCTGAAAAATATTAGTCAGATTGGATCATCATCCCAACTATTGGAGAAAATAAAATTCATGTTCCAAACCACCAACCAGTATATATTGCCATCATCCCATGTATATATCCCGTGAAATATCATCCCATATATCCCATGTATATATCCCATTTATAGGTGGTAAACATCCCATTGGTATACCATCTATCATCCCATTGATCATCAAACCACCAACCAGTTTTTATATATTTCATGGCAATGACCATGACAATTTCTAAGGACTTCACCATACTTCACCATACCAGTTTATATATTTGATGGAAAATGGCCCATAGAAATAGATGATTTTCCCATGCAAACCGCCATTTATGAGGGATTTTCCATGGCTATGTTAGTCATAACCAGATGGTATTATCCAATAATAATAATCATAGTAGATTATGATATTTATGCCATAGTAGATTATGTATAGTTATATATATATATTGTCCCAGATATATGATATGTGATATAGTTAAATAACCAAACATAAGTATAACAGCTATCACTTGACCCAAATTCCCCTCCAACGGAAAGCGCCACGGAAAGTCACGGCGTCACTTCCGCCTCCAAACTATAGCGGCTGAAGTCCGCCTCTTCCACCTCCGGCAGTGGACATCGAATCGATGGGGCGCCCCTATTTGGAATCCATGGGAGAAAATCCATGGGAGTTTCTCCCGCTGACTGGGAAAAAAATCTGGGAAAAACCAACCGGGAAAATCCCATGGAGAAACTTTGGAAAGTTGGATGGGAAAGTTGGATGGGAAAGTTGGATGGGAAAATTGAGGATGGATTTTCACCTGCAAATGCTGTTTTGTGATGGTGGAATTTCATGAAATTTCGACATGATTTGACCAGATATTGACAGGTTTTTCTATGGGGCACCAGTGATATCATCCGTGTTACTGGTGCAACATGTTCACTGCTCATAGGATCTTTTGGGGGCAGGGGAGAATTTAAAATACATATAAACATATATAAACTGGCCAGAAAAGGAAGGTACGCACGGCAAGCACACATTTGAATGGTGATACAACAAGCTTTTGTCCAGTTGCATGTGTTTCATCCAGAAAAAGTCTCAGATTTCATCAACAAAACTGGGGACCCTCTGGTAAACATACAAAAAACGAACTGGAAAGATCCACCATGCTATTAATAGGAAAACTCACTATTTCTATGGCCATGTTCAAGTTCGCTAACTTTGTATGTTTACCAGGCCGGGTAAGCGACATCCCACAGTGGACGAAATGACGACATCACCAGCAGGCCGCACCTTAGTAGATCTACACCAAGGTATGAGGGTTTGACCCCAGCTCCTGGACAACGTGACAACGTGGAGCCAGGTGGTCGTGGTATGACTGACCATCAGTCAGTAAAAAGAAAAATGGCAAAAAAAAGATGAGGAACCTGAAAAAACTCCTCAAAAACACGAATCTCATATTTCTATCTCATCCCATTTCTGAATCGCAACTCGAGTTTTTTAAAAAATGGAGGAACTCAGTAAATTTCGGGCTGAAAGAAACTCCAAATCCTCCCATTTGAGCCACGGGTTTTTCCCCGTCACGGAGCACATAAGGCACACCCAACCGGTCGGACCCCGTCCTAAGGGCTGTGGCATAGCTCGACCCTTGAAGTTTCTCCAAGAACCAGGTGAGGCGCTTCATCTTGTCCTGGTGCCATGTCGATATTTCTTTGGGGATAGAGACATGGCATGGGAAAAAATCATGGAATAAATGATGGTAACCATGATATATGAGTAAATGCTAAAATTTATGATGATATAACATGTGTACACATATATATATATATATATGATTCTGTGTGTGTGTGACATGTGCATACATATGTATATATATATTACATAAGCCACATGGATTCCCGCAACCACCAAATGGCCCCTGTTTCTAGTCCACCAATGGGCAGCCATTTTTGGGGCCTGGCACTTAGGAACCCGAGAAGAAAGGTCAACGGTCAAGTACCCCATTGTGAAAGGTGTTCACCTCATAAGCTAAGCGCTGTTGCATCTTGCCCACTAAGTTGTTGTGTGTTCAGACGCACGAAAATATCACATCAGCTAGATACATCCTCACGAACCCCAAGCTGCTGCTTCATCCACTTGGCACTCTGCCCCAGCCTCTTCTTGTGGCTTCGGAAATTCCAATCTTAAAGCCTGTCCAAGGGCTGAGGAATCCGCCAGTGCGTGACCAGTTGACCACTTCGCCAACTAGAATATATTGGAATTACCCTACCTGGTAAACTAACATAACTATGGAAAGATCCACCATTAATGGGAAAATCCACTATTTCTATAGCGATTTTTGATAGCAAACTGTTTGTTTACCGCATTGAACCCCTGGCACCAGATTTTTCACCAGGGGTCCACTACCTGATCTACGAGGCGGTGCTAGTTCTGTTTGGTTGAAATCCCCCTTTAACTTTCCCCCCTTTCTACTTTCGTGCCTTGGCTCATGTAAAGCTGGAAAGTCATCCACAAAAGATAGTTCACCAGGTACCCAACTTAGCTATAGATCTTTCTACCATAGTTACCATAGTTCACCTAATAATACCGAACAAAGCTTTATTCTCGAGGGGGGCCAACCCAGTACAAGAAACATGTGTTGCCACCTGAAACTTCACCAAGTTCCCCCCCCCCGGCCGCGGTGAAAAAGTCCATCTGTTCGTCCTCAGCGAACGATTTAAGGCCCGTTCCGACCATGAATTTCCGTTTGGCCACTGGCCATCAAAAAGTGAGAAGTCGCAAAATCACACCGGACAAAACTGTGAATCTCTGGTGAATCTATGGCTAAATAATGGATAAATCATGGATAAATCTATGGAACATGATCTGGTTGAAACATGATTACCCGGCCTGGTAAACATACAAAAAACGAACTGGAAAGATCCACCATGTGAGTTCAATGGCTATTCATCAACTATTTCGACTGGGCCATGTTCACCATGTTCACCATGTTCCAGTTACAGTAGCTATTTCTGTTGACATAACCATCCCATTAAATAATCCATACAATGTGGGGCCCCCCAGTTATGTTTGTTGGTTTATAAATCCCATGAATACTAGTTCGTTATTTGCGTATCATGAAAACCATAGTGAAATTGGAGTTATAAACTCACCAACTGAACGCTATCGTGGCCGGGGGCCCCACATGGTATAAATAGGGATCCCACGTTGAATTCATAGTGGATGCCTCTCCTCAACTGGAAAAAAACGTCCCATCCCCAAGCATAGGTTTCGTCCAAATCATTTGGAAATTTCTCTGCGTACGTTTTAACCAACCAGAGATATCCACCCGGGCCAATATCCATTCTACTCTCAAGTAGAAAAAATATTTTCCCAATGTAAATCATAGGATTGCCAAATCACAAGAGCATCCCTTTACCCCCTTTGTACAACATCATGCAACCACACACAGCAAAAACGATGATGTTCTGCAAGGTGAGGCACCCCAGTTATAAGTTACACCCCCTACCCAAACCTTAAGCAAGTTGTGTGCGAACTATCCTCAACTTAGCGACAAAAACAGCTGTCAAAGAATTCCAGGTTGGCGTCAAACCTACTGGTCGACCAACCCAAACGGTTGGGGGCCAAAAAGCTGTCTCACCTTGTAAGATGCTCCATATCGGGGGAATTCATACCGACACCAGCTATTGTCATAGATGATACTTAATAATAATAACAATAACAATAATTCCGATAATGATAATAATAAGAATAGCAATCATAGTAATCATAATATACATATATATATATACATAATTAGTCATGATATAGTCATGATATAGATGGCTATCATATGTCAACAATGGTCCTTTTTTTCGGTGCCACCGTTCTGTCCAGCTGGGCTCCCCCGGCGGACAATTCGCCGATGCCTTCATCATCGATGAACTGGCGGAGCGGCTCCCAGGGGCTCCCAGGGGCTCCCAAGATTTTGGCCGAAAAATCGAAGAAAAACCATATGGCTATGGGTCAAAACGCTGGTACCCGGATGGCTCCCCAAAAATGCTGGTTAATAGATGGTTATTCCCTCAAATATGGTAATAATAGGTTTTGACCCATGCCCATATCCATCCATATCCCATGAGGTCAAAGATCCGAAACATCGAAGAATGATCTGTTGGTTCTTGAAGATTTACCCAAGCGGATTGGATCTGTGCCCAAATCTGTCCAATCTCCGTCGTGGACCAAAACCGTTCGTTTTGCACAAAAAACATGCCACGGCAGACCCCTGCCACGTTCTGCAGACGTTTATGCCACATCCTGAGTGATCGACTTGAAATGCCCAGTTTTTTAAACTATGGAAAGATCCACCATTTTCTAGCTGGGTAAATCCACTATAAATCTATGGCCATTTTCAATAGCTAAGTAACAAATTACCAGAGGGTAACCCCTGAAGCAATCGTCTGCCTCAAGTATCCAAGCTTTCTAAGTTTCATGTTCTCGGCTAAGCTAAAAATATACCAGTAATATCCAGTAATTATATCAATGATATAGAAATATACACTGATTGGTTATTCAACCCCGCCCCAAAAATATTAGTCATCTCGACCAATTATCCGATATCTATGGTTCACATCCCTATTTTTCATGATTTAGCTACCATAAATCCAGAAAAAAAAATGAAAAAAAACATCTAAGACCCATATAAATCACTATAACTCCCATCAAAAAAAAACCTGGAAAATCCATGGATAAATCCCATAGAAATTGATCGGATAATTATCGAAATCATCTCATCTATTTATGGTGGCTGGGGGATGGTTTATGGTTTTGTTTTACCATGTTTTACACACATTATAGATCTTGTAATTATAAACCAATCCCAATAATAAACCAATCCCAATGGAAAAAAATGAAAAACCAAGATCTTTTTCTAAATACCAAGAAAACAACCAATGATACTGGTTTATAAGATCTTGGTTTATAAGATACTAATTGTTTATATAGATCTTGGTCCACCACAAAAACTGTGATGAATTTCCACCAAGATCGTCTCGTTTTAAAATCATCCACTTGGGAACGAACTTTCTGAAAGGTACCCAACTGAAACACTGTATATTTTAAGGGATTATACTGGGAAAAAACATCTACCAACTGGTTTATGGTAGATTTTTTACTAAGTATGAGAAACTATAGTATTCATGGGGTTTATAAACCAACAAGCATAACTGGAAAGGGCACCATCCTGTATCATATTATACAAATCATCCACCAACAGAGGATTATTCTAAATACAATAGTTGATACTATCAAAATCTGGAAAAACAACATAAAAAATCATTAGTTAGATAAATCATGATCATAAAAATCCCATTAAAATCATCAAATCCCATAAAAATCTAAGTGTATTATCCATAATACTGGTGGATGGTTCATTCTTGTTTTACCCACATCAATAAATCCCATCAAAACCCACAATGTCAACCCTGGATTAATAAACTCCAAACGGCTGTTTAATTGGGAGGGTACCATTTAAGTATCAGACTATGACTATTGGAGAAGTACCCCCCTAATTAATTAGAAATCATACCCTCTGGTAATTTGTTACATAGCTATTGAAAATGGCCCATAGAAATAGTGAGTTTTCCCAGTCAAAACGGTGGATCTTTCCATCGTTTTTTGTATGTTTACCAGAGGGTATACCCATAGTTGTTATTTATAGTTGTGATTTATAGTCATTTCATGTGGATAAAACAATAAATCCCATAGAAATCCCATCAAAACCCATAGAAATCATGACTGGTTGGTGGTTGACCTACCCCCCTGAAAAATATATAAAAATATGAGTTCGTCAGATTGGATCATCATCCCAACTATTGGGGTAATTATAAATCCCATGTATATATCCCATGAAATATCATCCCATATATCCCATGTATATATCCCATGGAAATCCCATAGAAATCCCCATAGAAATTATTCACAGTTTTAATTTACCCATGGAAATGGTAATTTGTTACAGTTTGCTATTGAAAATGGCCCTCCTAGAAATAGTGAGTTTTTCCCATCAAAATCCCCATAGAAATCATGATAAATCCAACTATCATGATCAGTATATATTACCATGATCATTATATATTACCATGATCATCCCATGTACCCTCTGGTAAACATACAGAAAACTATGGAAAGATCCACCATTTTCTAGCTGGGTAAATCCACTATTTCGACTGGGCCATTTTCAATAGCTATGTTTGTTTACCAGAGGAATCAAAATCCCATGAAAAAAAAACATTGGTTCTATATCAACAACATCTATCATCCCATTAATCATCAAACCACCAACCAGTTTTTATATATTTCATGGCAATCACCATGGCAATTTCTAAGGTTATTAACCATGAGTATTGACCATAGCTCATATATTACCATGATCATCCCATGTATATATCCCAACTCTTGGGGAAGTCATGAAAAAATTCCCTGGAAATGACCCAGCACCGAGTCGCAGCATGGCCAACTCTTTGGTCCCACTCTCCGTGAGCCGTTGCAGCCGCGGGAGCAGCTTCAAGATCTGCCGGAAAAACCATGGGAAAAACCATGGAAAAACATGGGGAATTCATGGGATTTCATGGAGATTCATGGGATTTTGTGGGAGTTGAATGGGACAAACCTGGTTTAACCATCAACAATCTTGCTTTTGTAAGATTTATCATGGAAACTGAATGGGATTTGAATGGGAGTTAATGCAATGTGAATGGGATGTTGTTGATATAGAACCAATGGGCTTTTTTCATGGGATTTTGATTTTCATATACCCTCTGGTAAACAAACATAGCTATTGAAAATGGCCGAGTCGAAATAGTGGATTTACCCATTAACAATGGTGAATCGTTCCATTGTTTTTTGCATGTTTACCAGAGGGTATACGGTATACCCATAGTTGTGATTTATAGTTGTGATTTATAGTCATTTAATGTGGATAAAACCATAGAAATCCCATAGAAATCCCATCAAAAGCCATAGAAATCATGACTGGTTGGTGGTTGACCTAGGATTTTTTCAGCCACGATTTTCCATGGTTATCGTTATCTCCATGAATCCGGGCCTGCCAAACCCGCAAGCTGCGCAGGATACTGATCATTCCTTGGCCCAAGATGTCACAAGGCACGGTATCTGGTGGTAGACCTGGTGACCTGGTGACCATTGGTGATGGAACAACAAAATGATAAACAAACAATATAAGGGAGTTAGTAGATAAACTAGATAAACGAACAAAATGTACTAGGGAATTGGTGACCACTGGTGTAGATAAACAGACAATATATGTACTAGGGAGTTACCCGGCCTGGTAATTTAACATAGCTATTGAAAATGGCCCATAGAAATAGTGGGTTTTCCCATGAAAAATTGCCATTTTCAATGGCTATGTAACAAATTACCAGAGGGTAGTACATAAACTAGATAAACAAACAATATATGTACTAGGGTTTATTGGTGACCATTGGTGATGGCACGGTACCAAAAAAAATAAGGCTGGAGGGAGTCAGTGACCCAAGAAATTGTTCGAATCGCTGTTTATGATTGAAGCTAGAGGAAAATTGAATCGGAGAGGTTCTAGACTTAATAGATATATACATATACATATACATATATACATATACATATGCTGTTTATATATTATAATATCATGTATATATATATATTATTTATGATTATTACTATTATTATGTGACATGGCAATCTGTTGCTGTTGTTGCTGGTTTTTTTCTGTTGCAATCCCCCGTTGCTGTTTCGGTGCTCAAAGTGGTCGCCCAGCGTCTGGTAGATCGACCAGCACCTCGCATAGCTCTAGTGGTCCTGGATCGGCTCCACTGGATCCGGGATGTCCGGAATGTGACGGTGGGGAGCATTTCGTGGATTGGTTTAAGGGAAAATCTCCAGGAAACCCATGGGTTTTTACCATCAAATTAATGGGGTTTCCGGTTAAAATTTTCCCATCATCCAATTCTATGACCTATACGTTATGTATATTATACCCTCTGGTAAACTAACAGAAAACTATAGAAAATCACCATGTTTAATGGGAAAATCCACTATAAATGGGAAAATGTACTATATTATATTATAAATGTAAAAATCTGATTTTTGTAGATTGATTTTTTTTATATATTTTGGAGATTTTATAGTATATATGATTCTCTTGACATAGATAGAATATGGAATTTTCAAAAATATCTTCATTTTAGTGATGTTTTTTGGAATAGTCCAAATATATATGTATATAGTATTCTACATATATATATAATGTTGCATATGTAATCAACAAAATATACAAGATTTGATGGGATATAATTCGGATATGTGACCGACTTAATATCATATTTAGGTACTTCTGAAACTGGGGATATTCTGCCAACAAACCACAAACATGGGGAACTGTACCAACCATAATGGGGATATAATGATGATGTGTGTGTGTGTGTGTCTGAAAATGAGAGGGCTTTTTTTTTCAAGTAATAGCCATTAGACAGGAAAATCATGATAAACCTTTGGGGGCACCCTATTGTTTGCAGCTCCCGCATCAGCCATTGACAAACTCCGGGGATTTCTCAGCCAGCCATGTTTGATTACAGAAGGCTATTTCCTTTTCATTAACTGTAGGCTATGTATAATCATATACTCATATATACATCTATAGATAGATATAGATATAGATATGGATATAGATATAGATATGGATATAGATATATGTATATATATATATAGATATAGATATGTATATATATGTATATCCATTGATAGTACATCGAAATTATACCCATTCTATACCCATGTCCCAGCGCGCCGCTCTCCTCATCGCCACAGCAGCGTCGGTATTGATGATTTCGGTCGCGATCTGAGGCAAAAAACTCAGATCGACCAATTTCCGAGCAATGAACGGTTTCCGACCGATGGGTCCCTAAAGTGGATGATTTACATATGTATAGAAATAATTAGTGAGGTTTTCCCATCAAAATCCCCATAGAAATCATGATAAATCCAACTATAGATCATCCCAGTATATCGACTCTGATCATCCCATTTAAGGTAGTATAACCCCTGGTAAACATACAAAAAACTATGGAAAATCACCATGTTTAATGGGAAAACCCATGGGAAAACTATTGGGAAATGGTGATTTATATGGAAAGATCCACCATTTTCTAGCTGGGAAAATCCACTATTTCGACTGGGCCATGGCTTCAATAGCTATGTAACAAATTACCAGAGGGTATATGTAGATGATCTATAGATCATCTGTAGATTCACATTTTTGATGATTTACCCGGCCTGGTAAACGTTTACATCATTAGCGAACTGGAAAGATCCACCATCTGAAAAATGGCTATTCATCAACTATTTCTATGTGCCATGTTCAATAGTTATTTTGACATAACCAGAGGGTATCATGGAGAATCCTATTAAATAATCCACAAAAAAATAGGGATCCCTATGAATTCATAGTGGATGATGGTACCCCTATGTACCCCTATTTTTGGAAACCTCTAGTCATGGGGGTCATGGCACCCTGGTAGCCCTGTAGTTCAAAAAGCTATGGAAAATAGCTGGGATTCATAAATGGATGTTCATCCAGTTCCCCCCTATAAATGCTATTTAAGATATTGATCCATGTCCTATCTTGCTATATACCCGGCCTGGTAAACATACAAAAAGCTGTTGAAAATCACCATTTATAGTGGATTTACCCATTAACAATGGTGGATCTTTCCATAGTTTTTTGTATGTTTACCAGAGGGTATCCATGTCGTCATTGAAGCTATCGTCCCAGAATTTGGACGTGTCAAACAGGGTTGCTGACCACCAAATACCCTGCCCTTCTTGCCAAGATTTACCAAAAATTGCTTGGAACAACCCTTAGGACTCTTTGCTATGTGGTTATATCCCCATTGTATAAATTCACATTGCCACTATATATATATATATAATGGGATATATATATATATATATATCCCTATGAATAGCCCAATAAAATGGTTGATGTTACACTCCAAAAAGGCTTGTTCTGAGGCCACTCGCTGCGGTATCTCCGAGAATGCTCAAGGTTGCACCTGAGGCCAGTCACACACCCAATCGTGGAAAAGCCATGGGGTTTCACCCATTCGGAAAGCCATGATCAACCCATTAGTGAAACGTGTGAAAAAAACGATGTATTAGATTTAAAAAAAAAAAAACATGGAAAATCCAACGTCATTTGCACTTCAGAATAGTTATTTGAGCCACGTTTATATTTGCCACGTATTGGGAAAGAACGATGAAAAATCCTTCGCAATCTTAGATGACATCGGATGGCAACTGAATGGCAACTGTAGCCCCATTGCAGCCGGGATGGGTATGACCCTCCTGTCAAGAAATTGGCCATGTACGATATTTTGTTGTGTATGGCAGCCGAAGAAATGAAGTCAGTGTTCAAAATCCGAAGTCTCACCCAAGAAATATACCCTCTGGTAATTTCACATAACTATGGAAAATCACCATTTAGTTCGTGAATTGTCCCATTAATAGCATGGTGGATCTGTCCATAGTTATGTTAAATTACCAGAGGGTAGTGGTTAAGAACGGGTCCATCATACTGGATGATCCCAAATGTCATCCAGCATCTATCAACGATATCACCATGTGTTTTTGGTGAAACGATCCCTAAATCAATGATGATTAAAATCCCCAAAAGTCACCAATCAGGAGGTGGTTTTATAAATTTTAACAGTGTTCTGACTACAATGTAGCCTTTTGGTTGTTTCAAGTATATTTCTGGGTAAATTATAATATTTCACTAACCTGAATTAAGGCCATTTGGGGATGATTTCCCTTACTAACCATTATTCCAGTGAGGTCGCAGTGAGGTCGTTATAATTTACCCAGATATTTACCCCTAAAAAGTTGTTTTTTTTTCATCGTGTTTTAACAGCATGTTTTAGATGAAAAAAGTACGTGTCACCACTTTCCAGGTTTCCCACTTTTCGGGCATCCCATTTTGTCAAAAATCATCTCATAAAACAACAATGAAGATAGGTGAAAATAAAATTTGTTCTACCTACTCCAGGATGATTAAGTATATATATATATATAATAGGTATATATATATTTATATACATACTGTATATAGTATATATAGGTATATATAGATATATGTCAGTAGTTATCTACCATAAATCCGCTGTTTTCACCTCAGCTATCTACCACAGTTACACCAAGGCTACGGCCGCCGCCAAGCCAGCGGCAAGCGTTGACCAAGGCGCAGGTGTCCATGACAAAGCGCAAAGAGAAGAGATAGCCAGGGAGCACCCAACACATCAACATCTCCTCCACAGTACATAGTACATACCCTCTGGTAATTTAACGTAGCTATTGAAAATGACCATTAATAGTGGATTTTCCCATTAAAAATGGTGATTGTCAATAGCTATGTTAGTTTACCAGAGGGTATCTGATAAATATATATATATACATACATTATATATTATATTATATATATATGTGATATATATCATATATATAATATCCAACCAATAATATATAATATATACATCTCCTCCACCGATGAAGCCCCCGGAGGTGTTCGGTTCAGGGTGAGGAAAAAAGTTCTTCGCGCTTGAAATACACATTTTACATATAAAGATATGACATATGAGATATGAGACATGATATATGATATGTGATGTATAATGTATGAGATAAGATCAGAGAAACGCACCTGATTCCTGAATCCAGTATAAATAAGATATATCGCGACAGGCGCGTTCAATGCAAGTTGAAATCACAAATGGACAAATGCAAGTGCAGTTGGATGCAAACACAATGCAGAATCAAGGCAACAAAGCAATGCAGTTGGAAGCGAACACGCAATGAAACCTTTTTGTCCGAGTGTTTTCTTGAGCCAAACAGCATGTTCAGCAAAGTTCAGCAAGGCTACAAACTATGCGAGTTTGAACTCATGTTCTTCTGAACTAGTTAAGCCTATTGCCGGAAGACAAGTAACTGATACAAGTCTACAATTGCAAATGACATCAAGGGTGCTAGAGGAAAGCTCACATGAGAAATATACACTGTACCATGCGAGTATTTTCAACTCCCCCCTTGAGGTTTTCTATACACCAAAACAGTTATTCACGTCTTGGCTGTGCCCTCATGTCATCATCACAGATCAGAGTGCCATACAAGAAGTCAACCTTCGGCTGGTTTAGAGTAAGGGGCTTGCCGTAACGGCTTCCTCCGCTGTTTCTTCTTGTAGCCGATCTTATGCTCAGCAGGTCCCGCGCCAGTTTGAGGTGGTGCTAGAGTCATGTCTTGACTAATCTTGAGCCCTGCTTGAGAGGTTTTGATGATGTTGTACTCCTCATGAATGCCGAGCATGTTCAGGGCTGGTTGCCAAAGAGGGCCAGACAAGGCCTTTGTGAATATGTCTGCACGTTGATACTTGGTACCTACCAACATGAGCTCTGTATCTTCTCTGTCTAATTGCTCCTTGACCGATGCTAGGTTGATGCGATGCACCCTCTTCAAATGCCTAAGCTTCTTAGAATATCCAGCTGCACATACTTTTGCGCAGGCTTCGTTGTCTTCTCTGATTCTCAGTAAGACATTCCGCTTCAAGAGCGTGCTGAAAAGCTCTGCCAGGGGTATCGCCTCATCAAACAAAATGTTTGCCAAAGCCACGGTCTCGCTCTCAGTGGTGCTTCTAGACACCGCTGTCTGTTTCTTGCTTACCCAGCACAAAGGAAACGACGTGTCCTTTCCGGACAGTTGGATCCATGCACCTGAGGTACTGTAGCAATCCTCTGTACTTCCACATAGGTCTGCATCAACAAAATACTCTAGGAAAACTTCATCCATTCCATCACCAACATAACCGGTCAACATGTGATTCTTGGTACTATCTATGTAGCAGATGGCTCGGAACAACGCTACGTCACAACCAGCACACCACTTCTGGATCTTGGTCGCAAGCCAAGTGGTCACTCTCAGAAGATCTGGCCTTGCAAGCCTGGCCAACCACATCATCTTCATAAGGATGCTGGAGGCCTTGTCTCCCAATTCCCCACGGGAATCATCTTCCTCAATGTCCCCATTGGCGAAGAAAGGAGTGTTGACCTTCTTCAGCTGCTTTCCTTCAGTGATTCTGAGGTAGTCAGTGACGATATCTTGAGCATATGCTCTCATGTCAAATGCGAACAGTTCCTTGCCCTCACGCTCAATTGTTGTGTGATGACGGCCAAGAAAACGACCAAGATCCCCAATGTCATCAATGAGGACCCTCTTGCCAAGATCCTGCCAAAATGTGTCATGCATGGTGGCATCTCCAGCAAGCACAAAGTCATCAACGTATACAATGAGCGCCAAGTTGTTGTATGATGGGAAGACATATGTCGACGCAAACTCATCAATTGGAACTCCACCCATGGCAACAAGCTCCTTGTTGAGGTGTTTCTCCCAATGGGAGCCGGCCTCTGGATGGCCGTAAAGCGATTTGTGTAACCGCACTACCGGTCGGCGGTAGCGTGGCTCTCCACTGGGCCAAAACCAGTCGTCAGGCCAAACCTCTCTAGGCAATCTGACCCAAGTTGCACACAGTGACTTCAGTTCCGATTGTAAATACGCTTTTACAGCGTCTGCTGTGCTCACCTTGCATCCGCTCATCAAACCAAAACAGATTATGGCATTGGCGGCCACAATTGATGCTGGCGATGCCGAAAGCGTCTGGTACAAGGCGATGTTTCCACTCTCTGTCTTCGCTGCATCTCCTCGGTAACACACTCTGCCTTTCAATTGTCTGAAGGCTGGCTCCAATTCGACGTGCTTCTCGGAGCATATTGCTAAGAGGTCAGCGAGATGGATTGTTTCATGGTTCTCGATGGCCCGTTTCTTGACGTTGTGTTCCTCATCCACGGGGGCCCAATCCCAGGTTCCCATACTGGCCACACCATCGAATTCTTTTCGTATGGCCTTCAGAGCGTCTGGTCGTGCTATGACTTCAGCACGTGGAAGTTGGCGGGTCACTGCCGCCGGGAACACTTCATCTGCAGGCTCTTCTGGCGGACATTCCGGAACAATGTCATCGTCAAGAGGGTCACAAGCATGTCCACTTGATGATGCACGCTCACCGGCCGGAGTTGGTGGAAGTGCTGCTGGTGTTGGTGGTGCAACTGACGGTGTCGGGGGTACTCCACTACGAAGTCCATAGATTCCGTCAAACCTCGCACGGCATTCTGCTGTGTGTCGCGAATGTCCATTTTCACAACCTGAACATCCAACAGTTACTCCATGCTTTTCAAGACGTTGAGATGTGATGTAAGCATGTCCTGGTGGAGGCGGCCTGTCTTCAATGGGAAATGCATCTATGCAGATATCATATGGAAGAACACCTTCAACAAACGACTTGTCATATTCATCACGTTTCAACACCATCTCAACATCAGTCATATCAAGAAGTGCAGTGCGCGCAGCACGCGCGAGCGGAAACTCAACATGTTCAATTGGTGGCAAGAACGTCTCACGCTGGTGAACAACCTTGGGAATCCAATGTAAGTGAGCTCGTGTCCTGGTTGACTCATAGTCAACAATGAGAAGGTTTCCACGGAATCTGAGCCCAGGCGCCAAATGCCATCCTGCAAACAGTCCCGGTTTTGTTGTTGGCTCACCGAGGTCTCCTTTCGCACGATAGTACACAAGAGCCCCAAGCGGATATCGAGGTCCTCCAAACTCACTCCCTGTGGCAACATGCCATCTGGTCTTTCCAATCTTGTTCTCCTCCGCCTCAGTGCCTTTTTCATGGTTGGCAATCGGAGCAGGTGAGAAAAACGATCTTGCTTTTGAAACATAATCAATTGTCAAAGTCCAGAGCCTTTTGTGAAAACCAGCTTGGATGTGTGACCGCCTGCTCAACTCCTTAAGCGTCCTCACTTCTCGCTCAAGGTGTGCATTGTGTGGCCAATAGTTTGGCGCACTTGGATCCAAAACCCAACATAGACGTGATGCTGCATTTGTCAACTCTTGGGCTGTGTCCGAACAAAATACAGTATCAGTGCGTCCGCTAAGCGGGTACCCAGCAAAATGTTTCAATGACTCATAGTTGGACTCCTCGTCTCTGCTGGTTTGTGGGTACGCAAGGCAAATTCCAGAGTATCTATCCCTGACAACAAGTGCACAAAGTTCTCCTCCCAAGCCTCTAGATTCCACAGCTGGAAAGATGTTGTCTGCCTCGATGATGCTGCCAAATTCCTTAGCTCGCTCATAGGGCATCTCACTGTCCTCTGGATCAGCACGGAACCTATGGGCATATCTTCTGAGCATCCTTCCACGACAACAATGTTCACAAAACGGATTTTTGCGGTCATGGAGTGTCATGTGTTCCAAACTCTGTGCTTCACGCTTCAGCCGTTCATCTCGTGATTCTCTCACTCTGTCGTCCTCGTCATCTGCTGGTGCTTCCCCATCAGACATATCAGCGGGACATGCAAAAGAATCCACAGACTGAAAAATGGTTGGAGTTGGAACTGGCTCTTCCTCAGGTTCTCGTTCTCTGTGTTCTTGGTGATTGCTAGGAAAGACTACTGGCATAGCTGGGCAATGTTTGGATATGATGTCAGGGTATAACGAGTACACGATGTATTCACACATGATCCTCGGTAAAACCCAGTTTGATTTGTCTTGGAACCTTCAATGATGGAGTGTTTGAAGCCGGAGTCATGTTGGCATCTGAGCTTGGAGAAAACTCGAGCTGTTCTGCCACATGTTGTAGCAACACGCCAACGCTTGAGATGCGGTTGGCCATCACCATCCACAACTCCCACTCTGCATCCATCGAAGTCGACGATCATCATGTCCAGTTGCTGTAACATATGCTTCACCTCATTTGTTGCCCAGCCAACGCAATGCCGTGGCCACTCATATGAAACTCTGCCCCCATGCTTCACCACGACCTTGGCTAAACGGAGAAACTTTCGGATCATCAATCTAGACCTCATTCTTTGAACATCCAGTCTTTTGGCATATTCATCTCCTTGACGATTCAAGCACATTGCCTGCCATTGGGACCAAGGTCCACAAGGTAGGCTGCCCCAAAGATCGCATCCAGGTTTGTTTTCAACAATCTTTTCAAGACTTTTGATAACACCTTCTTGTTCAACATTGAGCGATTGTTCAGTGCATCTCACGACATGGATACCATACTAATTGGCGACATTTCCCAACATCGAGTCAGGTGAAGTGCAGAATTCGATCAACATGCCATGTCCAGGAAGTCCCTCATGATGCTGTTCAACAGTAACTGCTTCTCCTGGAGGATCTGAGTTGTCAAAAGTGGCATGCTCCTCGCTGATGTCCTTAGCAATCTGTCGATACACCGCTGCTTCGGATGCATCCTTCGTTTGAGCCATTTGTTCATAGAACTGACTCATGTCCAGAACCATCTCATTGATGGAAATTCCATGGATCTTCCTTTCACTGGAACCCCCCTGACCGGTGGTTGTGGCACTCTCCCACTTCCTCCTCCTTTGTGCCTTCCGCTTGGCCTTCTTGGAGTGTTCCTGAACAGGCTCCACCTGTGGCGGGTCCTGATACAAAATCAAATCATGCGAAACATTGTCATGTCCGCGCGCTGGCGCGACCAAATCCATGCCACGCTTATTATTGTTATCATGGTCATCTGGATACAGATCGCATACACATGCGTACTGTCGTTCCATGCAATCCTCACAAAAAATGGACGTTGCATCCCCAACACATTGTGAGCAAACGGCTGCCTCCTGATACTCGGGCTTATCATGCTCCTCAGCAACGGGCTTAACAGCCTCCGCTGGTGCTGCCTCAGCTGTCGACGTTGCACCTTGTTGTGGTACACCTGCAAGCTGTTGCGGCTCAATGGCAAAGATTGGAACATTGTTTTGAACCCGTTTGGCATACCATCTATGCTCGAGAGGACACCATACTCGACACCTTTTGTGATCTAGTACGATGTATGGAGCTTCACCATGACGCCAAATGAATGTGCGTCCACGCTTGATCTGTTGACCAATTGACATGGCTAAAGGGCAATGTTCAAGCAAATGAAGTTTCAAATCTCCAACACGTTTGGCATACAACTTCAACTCTTCATGAGATGTCTGCGGTCCACCGCCAGTTGCAAATCTCACAGGGTTCTGAAGACATCCGATCCACGGCTTGAGCAACTCTGGATCTATTCCCTGTTCCTGGATTGCATGCAATGAACCTATATCATATGCAGCACCTGTGTCTCCAAGCAATTCAATGCTCATGGAGCGGAACTGCTCAATGCAAGGGTGAAGAGCTGATGCAGCCGACACGCATTCAAACTTGGGAGAATCAACAATCGAAGAAATCAAAGTTGCCAAAATGGGAACGCTCAGCTTCAAAAACACGGACATGGATGGCAAGGCCTTTGAGCAAAAATCACAGAAACCTTTCCAGGCCGCCATGACCTTCTGTCCATCGACTTCAGTGATCGTGACTGTAGATGCCACTGCCGCTGCTGCCGCTGTTGCTGGTGGAGCACTCGCTGCAGCTCCCTTTGTTGCCTTTCCATCTCCTTTCTTTCCCTTCTGGGCCTTTCCTCCTCCCTTGGATCCCTTTCCATCTCCTTTTTCGGAACCTTTCTGACCACCCTTTGAACTCAGCATTGATTGCTGGTGCTCCGTGAAGGCCTTCTTCGCTGCATCTGATCCTGGTTCTCCTTGATGATGGTTCCTGCATCTTTTGCCAAATCTACAATGGCCAGCCGCGTGGAGGGCACATGGTGCCTTCCGGTTCTTCTCATGGTTCACCTTCCCAACATCTAACGGACCAGCTGCCGCCGGAGCATTGCCCTTCGATTCATGCTTGGGCTTGTTGGCTGAAGCCTTTCCTGACTGCTCATGCTGTTGCGCTGGAAGCGCAAGCTGACTTGGTGGATTCGACTGCAACCCCTTTGATACATTCTCGAAGTTGCTGTCATGGCGCCGCTCTCTCAACTCTTCTGCAATCTGTGCCCATAGCCAGTCGAACGTCCTCTTTTTGGAGTTGGCCTTGCTGTTCCTGACCCGCTCTGTCACACGGTTCAACATTGGCACTCTCTTCACCTGATGCCATAGCCATGCGTAGAGCGTGTTCTCGGCTGGCCTGTCCTCAGGCTTCAACCCATGCAAGACGTAGTTGGTCTTCTTCACAAAGTCCCCAACCTCCTTGAGAGATTTTCCGGTCAACTGAAGCGACAACAGATGCATCTGACTGAGAGCCACTGACGAATCAGTCCCAGTCTCGTAGAAGCTGATAATGAGGTTCATCAGAGGCATGCCCTTGGGGCCCTCTTGCTTGGTTGCGCATTCCTCCACCCATGAAGTCAGTTCATGTGCAAGATCAGTGTTTGTTGCCAAAACTTCAGGCTTGATGAGCTCCGCAGCGACATGCTTGCTGAACATCGTGAACGCAGTTGATGCCTGAAGCTCTTCACGAAACTTGCGACCACGTCCACCATCCACGCAATGGACACAAAACTTCACCAACACATCGCGATCAGTCAAATCAATGCGACTCACTGCAGCTAAAAATGCTGCACGCCATTCCCTACATGAAGTGGCATCATTTGGCAAACGAGTGATCTGGATTCCTTTCAAATGCTTGATCTTGAAAACATTTTCATCCTTTTCCCCAGGAAGCAGCCCCCCCCCTGATGGTGGATCTCCCCCATCTGTTCTACCGCCATTTCCAACATCACCTTGGTGAGACCCAGTGCCATCTGTGGACCCTTGGCTGTTGGTTGAAGAATTCATTCGGTAGAACTTTGCACTGCTGGTTGCAACATTCTCAGGAATGGATGGTGGCCGACTAATACCCCTCTGATCATCTCGAAAAGGTTGTTGCGGAACAATATGTCCCGCTTGAATTCTTGGGCCATTCGGGTCATACTGGATTTGATGCTTCTGAAATCCAACATCACATCTACCTCCAACAGGAACATTCCCCAAAGCACCCGTGCATCCAACCAATGGAATCGGTGGAATCCCAGCACATGCACTGACCGTTGAATCGGCAGCGTTACACGCGCCAAGTGGATCCTGAAAAATCTGTGATCTCATCGATGGAGCACCGCTCGGTGGAGGCATTGATGGTGACGGCAACCCTGGACCCTGAAAACGATCCGTGCCATTGTTGGCTGTTGCCAAACTAAACATTGTAGCACACCTCCAACATGATGGTCTTCCAATCACATTTTGCGAGCCACAACATGAACAAAACATCACTTCCATAGGACTCATGCTAGCTACACTACAGGCCCTGACAGATAAATGTTCCGAAGCCGGAGATCCCTGAACTGCTGGAATATCAAAAGGGTTCATCATTGGTGGAGAACCCACAACAGATGATGCAGACGAGAGAAGATCCTTGTTCATCAACTGCTGCTTTGCGGCCGCCAGCTCCTGTCTCAGCATCTGCATCTGGTCATGCAGTTGCTGTCGATCTCCCACCAGCTTCTGGTTGTCCGCTGCAAGAATTGAGATCTGCGCCTCAGCACGCTGGGTGGCGGTCATGGTCTCACCTTCAGCTTGTCTGGCCAGAATGGCCTTTTCCTGTTGGACCTGTTGCAACTGATGAGCATCCTTACTTAATTGCTGAACAGCTAGGTCTCTTTCATGCTGAACCTGTGAAATCTGCTGAGACCCTTCTGCATGTATACGCTGCATCGCCAACCGGCTCGCTTGCTCAGCTTGATTCAACCTAGCCTGGTGTTCCAACTCTATACGCGCCAAATGCGCGTTTATTTTCTCCCTCATCTGTGAAACAGTAGCTTCTACCCGATACTGAACCGTGGATTCAACTAAATGCTCCAGCTGCTGAGGGTCAATCATGTTGTGAACGGATTGGGAATGATGTACATTTTGTTGTTGGTGATGGTGCAATGTATTTTGTTGAAAATTTTGGGTGTTGTATTGGTTCAACGTTTGACCATCTCTCCCAGTAGCAGTATGCGCAGATGACCGCCCACCAGTCCTCGTGTGCGCAGCTGAAGACACTTGCACTTCCTGAGGCGGGCTGGAGTCTGCTATCGCTGCTGGACCCGACTGCATCTCTGGTGACTCTGAAGATGTGGAATACTCAATCCCTGGACCGACAACTCTGAATGGCGTCGCAGGCACCTCCCTTTTCATGCAGCCAAAGATACAGGGGAAACTACCGCGCAATTGCGCGAACACCCAAACAAATTAAAAATGAATTTAATCGCGCAAGCGCGAGCGATCAAGATGACGAGAAATTCCGCGCAACGCGCGTTCAGACAAAGATATACCAACGACTACCGCGCAAGCGCGATCTGCAAAGGGCAACGAAAACACTTGAAGGGCTGCTGCCAAACACTGACAAACAAAAATCAATCCTGACACTTCTCACAGGGAATCAAAGTTTACCAGGAGTGCCAACTCACGCCAATGACTTCAAATAGGACGGCAATGGCACCGAATCAATGTCAGTTCTTCGGATCAACCGCTCCAAAGGCCGAAGGCTATCACTTGGCGATCTGCTGTCAGTTGTGATGGCAACCACCTTGGACCCACGTGCACGATTGACTTGCAACTGAAGGATGTCGTTGCAGAGGGCACGCTGATCGTCCACAAAAATGGCAATGCCAAGCTCCTTGACCAGTTCAGCCTTTGACTGGGTATGCCCAGTCACACTGGGTCCCTTTGTCCAATCTGAGGTGCGCTTGCGAGGCACAATGCAGATGTCCTTGAACGGACGTTGCAATCTTTGCTCCAAAGCTCGAGCTGCTGTCAACGTGGTGTTTTGCGTGGCCAATGCACTGCTGAATGACACCACGCAAAGATCCCAGCCTTTGTTCAACAAGTCCCTGAGGATCGCAATGCTGGATGCCGGAACAAAACCCTCCAGAGCACCACCGTCAGTTTCACGCTCGTGGCTCAAAGTCTTATGCCAGTCCAATCCAATCAAAGGTCTCTCAGTAGATCTTGCCCCTGACGCCGTGGAAGATGGTGCAATGTCCGCAACAACCTCCGAGGACTTTGCAGCAGCCTTGGCTGGCTTCAACTGAACAGTCCTCTCCTGGAGAGACTTGGGCTTTGCAACCTTCGACTCGGCCCCTTTTGCAAGCTCCTTGGCCTTGCGAACAGGAGTGATCTTCACAGTGCGCTCTGGCGCAGCTGGTGTTGTGGTAGCACAGGATGAAGGAGCAGATGAGGACGCTGTAGATGGTGCAGACCCAACAAGCTTTGTCGAAGACGATGGCTTTGCCGTGTCAACGGAAGATGGTCTCGAGGCCACCTTCCTTGTTTCAGCCTTTCTCTGCTTCGGAGATCTCGGCTTCTTCGGCACCTTGGGCTCTGCCTCCACTGGAGCAACTGTAGGAGCAGGCACCTTTGAAGCAACAGCTGAAAACGGTTTGGACCTCCGCGGCAAAGGAGACCTAGATCGCCTCTTTGCAGGCGGTGCCGCCTTCGGCGGTGTCTCAGGGGCCCTTGAACCCGCCTCGGTGTGTTCCACCCACACCCACAACAATTGCCACTCACCACTGGCACCCCCAGTGGGCGTAGGTGGAGGAGCGATGGGTCGTGCCGGCACCGATACAGAAGAGCTCGATGTAATCACACGTCGAGATGACAAGGATCTGACCGATTCTGTGTGATGCACTGTCCTTGCCGGCGGTGGCGGCACAGGCACAGGCACAGCAGCAGCTGAAACCTCCTTGGCTACCGCGCCAGCTTCTGCAGCCGACCTCGAGCGCTCTTCGCGCCTACGTTGACCCTCCCTGTCTATTTCGTATTGCTCCGGGTCGAAGTAGTCTAAGTGGCTTACCAAGCCAGCAGCTTTTCGAGCAACCTGCGATCTGCGAAAAGGATCTCCACCACGTCTTCCACGCTCACGTTTTGGAGGCTGTTCCGACATTACGCGCCAAGCGCGATCAATGATCAAGATGGTGTAATGCAGTGAAAATGCTTGATCTACTCTGCAACCAAATTGTTTCGAAAGTTCAGTCTCACAACCCAATAGTGATAGTGAAGATAGAGCCGAGTGCGGCTGATAACCAGATAAGATCAGAGAAACGCACCTGATTCCTGAATCCAGTATAAATAAGATATATCGCGACAGGCGCGTTCAATGCAAGTTGAAATCACAAATGGACAAATGCAAGTGCAGTTGGATGCAAACACAATGCAGAATCAAGGCAACAAAGCAATGCAGTTGGAAGCGAACACGCAATGAAACCTTTTTGTCCGAGTGTTTTCTTGAGCCAAACAGCATGTTCAGCAAAGTTCAGCAAGGCTACAAACTATGCGAGTTTGAACTCATGTTCTTCTGAACTAGTTAAGCCTATTGCCGGAAGACAAGTAACTGATACAAGTCTACAATTGCAAATGACATCAAGGGTGCTAGAGGAAAGCTCACATGAGAAATATACACTGTACCATGCGAGTATTTTCAACTGTATGATGTATGATGTATGATATGTATAGTGTATATATATATATATATCACATATATGTATATCAAATATATATATATATACATATATGTATCATATATGTATATCATATATAAATATCATATATATATATATACAATATCTAATTTTGAAAAAAAAAAACAGTGGCTTTCAACCTTTGAAGCCAGTGGTTACCCGGTAGCCCGTTCCGTCGCTCCTCAAAGGCGAAACAGAGAAAGACCAGGACGTTGATCACCGAGAGGGTCAAGTTATCCTGGCGGCAAAGACGGCGACGTTTTTTGGGGTGAGTTCAAGTGCCAAGTTTTTTAGGGCCTTACATGGGAAAAGCCATAGGAAAATGGGAAAACATAGGAAACCTAATGGGATCTTAATGGGATTTAATGGGATTTTATGGTGGTTTAATGGGATCTAATGGGATTTAATAGGATTTACCCGACCTGGTACACGTTTACATAACGAACTGGAAAGATCCGCCATGCATTTTGAATGGGAAAACTCACTATTTCGACTGGGCCATTTTCAAGTTCGCGAACTGTTTTCATGTTTACCAGGCCGGGTACTCCTGGTATATCCGGGTATATCCTGGTATTTCTCAACTATTTCTATGGTCCATGTTCAATAGCTATGAATGGACCATTCAATATAAATGATTTCCATTTTCAATTACCCATTCTTGATACCATGGAAATCATAAAATATGGACCATTTATAGTATAAAAAAATACTATCATCTATACATCATAACGTGGTATTGCCCCATTTTCAATAGTATTTCCATGTTTTTTCTATAAATGGACCCTGGTAAGTCAACTATCAAGGCATGGGGTCGAAGGATCAAGAACGGCGAGGACTCAGTCTGTCAGACTATGCCAGCCGAGATGCTAACCCAATGCACACTGGGTCACGGCAAGAGCCCAGAGTTAAACAACCAAAAAAAAAATATAAAACCACTGGTTAAAGCTATGTTTGAATTCCACTTTTAATCCTTCTTTTTGGATTCTTTTCCCGGTATTTTTTGTCGGACATCCATCAAGACAGATCCTGTTGGTGATGTGAAAAATTGGGACGTTTATCAACCTCTGTATATCTACCCCCAAAACAGATAGAAGTTCGTAAAATCCCACAAAAACAGTGATAAATTACTCCTTCCCATCAAAAACAGTCATCATACGGAAAAAATGACTGAACTGGAATTTTATGGGATTCAGGATCACTGGCTCTTTAGCGATAGCCAGATGAAGCTCCTTATAAGTGGATGATAAATGATAGATAACTAGCTAATTATAATTATATATAAGTGGATAAACTATACTTGTTATAGTTACCATCTTAGGGAAGCGTTCGAAGCGTTGAGTCCCTCCCGTCCTGGTCCATCCCACTTTGCCCGGTCATCAACAACAAATCGGGGCCTCATTGGCAATGTTGGAAGAGATGGTAACAGTTACAGCAGTTGCTACGATGAAAACCATGTAGGTCAAAAAGATGGTAACAGTTACAGTAGGATAAGAGGTACCCTCTGGTAAACATACAAAAAACTATGGAAAATCACCATTTTCAATGGGAAAATCCACTATTTCGACTGGGCCATTTGGGAGCTGAACTTGTGTCTACTACTCTAGAGATTTTCTGTCGAAATTCTCCTAGAAGTCACGGGATGAATCATCCCTCGCAACCGTGATAAAAAGATCATGTTGCCGCTGTTTCATAAATGCTTACCCTCTGGTTATGACTCACATAGCCATGGAAAGATCCACCATTTGTAATAGGTAAACCATCTATTTCTATGGGTCATTTTCCATGGCTATGTTAAATAACCAGAGGGTAAAATGCTACTGCTGGGTGAAATCTATGTGAATTATGGCGAGTAATGGTAAATAGTGGTTGAAAAATATGTGAATAATGGTCAACTGTGGCAAAGCCAATGATAAATGATGGTTGCAAAAAAACAATCCCCAACATTACCATAGTTGGTAAAAACTCTGGTACTCTACCATCTGGTTATTTAACATAGCCATGGAAAATGGCCCATTTATAGATGGTTTACCTATTAAAAATGGTGATGTTCCATGGCTATGTCAGTCATAACCAGATGGTAACACTTATGGTAAGCCGTGCCCCATGTACTTCCACAACTGCATTAGATCAACACGCCGTAGTGGTCATTGGTTAATACCAATCAACTATTTCTATGGCCATGTTCCATTGCCATGTTAGTTTACCAGAGGGTAAGCCTTTACTAAACAGAAACATTCTGGTGTCACCAAACATTTTTTTCGTTGCTTCTTTCATCCCCGAAAAATGCGCTGGGCTTCGCAGCCAAAAAGAGCGTAAAGCGTCAGGAAAATGAAGTAGAGCGTGAAGGCCTCTGGGATCAGAAGTCATTCAATTGGTGGGACGTTTCATAGGAAATGCCTGTACTCAAATGTCAACTGATCCAATCAAATTGGGACATTTAATATGTAATTTTATATAGGACATTTGATACATTGGATTGGTAATGGGCTCCTCTAGATTTCAATCCGACATAGAGGTGACCAAGTTTATAGGTGTGACAAGTGCATAGATGTTTTTTTCTCTGAAAATGTTTCGGAAAACCAAAAAGAAATGAGCCCGTAGTTGATGATCATCTTCCCCACTGCTATATGTTCATTCTAATCCCATGATATATCCAATTAATCCCATGATATAGATATTATATCATCATTATAATCATAGTATGTGTGCGTATATATATATATACATATATATATATACATATATATATATATAGAGATATAGATACATAGATATATATAGATAGATGTAGACGTGTATATATATATATATACATCCCTAGTATTCTATATCCCATCACTAGGTCTTTCCTCACGCCTTCCCTTCAACGATCTGCTGCGCCAGCCGCTTCACCCGACCTCGGCCCCCGGGTAGATGGCGTGAGCCACCGGAAATTCCGTGGAAAATCAGGGGAAAACCATGGCTTTTCCCATCCGAAATGGAGAAAAATCAGAGGATTTTCCCATCAGAAATGGATGATTTTGGGGCTAAAGTTCACCAAGAAAGATGCTGAATTTTTTCGGCCTCACTGAGGCCTCACGATGTGGAAAACCCATGGCTTTTTCATGCCCATTTCAAACTTGATCTGCAGTGGGCGCCGGCATGGTTTTCCGGTCTTGGTGTTTGTGAGTTTCAACTGCAGGGTAATACTGGAAACATCCCCACAGGACCAGGTTTTTGATTTATAATTTATAGCTATTTTTCAGGACCTATGTTTCTGCAGTACCCAAGGGGCAATCGAAAATGCAGGCCGCGTCCCAGCTTTCCTTCCAAAAGGAACGGCAAATCCTCCGAAAAAAATGAAACACCTCCAACCATCATTAAAACCTCCATCAAATCTTCATTTAAAAAAAAAAACTCACCCAAAATCATCCTAAAAACCCATCAAAATCTGATCAATCCCAAAAAAAAAGGTGCATTCCCAACTTTCATCTCCCAGTTTCCATGGCTTTTCCCTAGCTTTTTCCCCATCCCCAGGTCCCCATCCCGCCAAGCTTTACCGGCGCCGGGCCGAGGCGCTTCGCAGGTCCTCCGAGACCACCAGCACCGGCGCAGGTCCCTCGGCGGTGAAGTGGGCGTCGGCGATGTCCTCGAAGCCCCAGAAGATGCTGCGGACCACCTTCCGCACGTCCTGACCACCGGAGACCAGTGGCAGGACCGAGGATGGGATGGTTAACCATGGTTAACCACTATTAGATGGTTAGATGTTCGTGGTTTTTTCCACCATTAATCACTATTAACCACCATTAATCATTAGTAACCACGACAACATCTGGGTGTGTCTGAAAATGTAGGGAAAACCCCTTTTTACCCAATGGTTTTGCTGATCATTATCCCGTTTTTAAATGGCTATTTCATTGGGAAGATTAACCCAACATTTTCAGACAAACCCGGATGGACGGTGGATGGGATGGGATGGGATGGGATGGGATGGGATGGGATGGGATATGCTCTGAAAAACGGAATATGTTTAAATTGGATATCCATGAGGAATATCATAGATGAAGGATGGTAGTATGAATGATTCTTTTCTTGATTCTTATGGAATCATACATAGTGATGATGGAGATGAATAACCATAATTACTACGGTGGATTGAGATAAAGAACATCATGGATTGATATGGATATGATCAGCCGATGGCAGTGGAGGATTAAACTGAACCAGGGCATTTTGGGGGCCGCGGTCGGTGAGATCTCAAGGTGACGGTCGCGGTCCTTCAGCTTCTGAATATTCTTCTCCTGACCCCAGTCCTAAGCGCGACGAAGGGTGCTTCCCATGATAGTGGCTTTCCTGACTTCAGGATGGATACAGTAACCCCAAAAAGACGCTCAAAAGCGTTTCCAGGTCGTTAATAGATGAGATTTGTCCAATAATTTCCCGGGTGTCTAGCCTTTCTATGTTGCGGTTGTTATCAGGGTCACTAATATTACACTCTGGTTATTTAACATAGCCATGGACAATTACCTATTTATAGATGATAATTTATGATGATCTACCTATTAAAAATCATGATTTTCCATAGCTACGTTAAATGATCTCTCCCAAGAATGGATGGAGAATGTTCTTTTCAGAAACATATGACAATAATTATCGTACACCCACCCTTGTACATATATGTATATATGTATATAGGTATATACGCATATATGTTTATATGTTTATATGTTTATATGTTTATATGTTTATATGTATTATACATGTATATGTGTATATATGAATATGTATATCTGTATATATGTTTATATGTATGTGTACATATTCATGTATCATATGTCCACTGGAGTTTCCCAAGCTTTTCCAATCATTTTCCAGTCAGAAATTCTCTGGGTTCCCAGGCCACGCATTGCGAATGGTCCTGCAGGTTCTTGATGTCCTCTGCATTCAAGGCCTCAGCGTAGACTAAGATGCTAAGTGGACCATGAGATTTTTCTAATGAGGTTAGATGGGAGGATGAGATACATCGAATGTACCATTACCAGGTTTTCAAGTTATATGGGTTACTTGAATGGGTTATGTCTTTTTAAGAAGTGGACCATCGATGTACCATGGACTATTTCATGAGATACATCGATTTTTTGATATGTCATGGGTTTTTTTGTCTCAAGAGAACAAGAAATTATATGGGATATATATATATATAGCCAAGCCCTTATAGTTATATTAATGGGAGATTTACTAAGAAGTGATAGACTAAGTTACAGATACCCTCTGGTAATTTAACGTAGCTATTGAAAATGGCCATTTATAGTGAGTTTTCCCATTAAAAATGGTGATTTTCCATAGTTATGTGGCTGTTTACCAGAGGGTACACCGTGGAGATTTTTCGAACAACACAAGAGCTCTGGGAAGCCATGCCCAACTTCCTCCCAAGTTGTTGGAAGAGTAGTAGTGCCGCATCGCCTCGCAGTGCGACGAACTCCCAACATTGCGTTTGAATGGCCAAATCCCATGGAGATCTGGGATCAGAAAAAATTACCACCCGACCTGGGATTTTCATACAAAAAACTATGGAAAATCACCATTTTTAATGGGAAAACCATGGGAAAACCATTGGGAAATGGTGATTTATATGGAAAGATCCACCATTAGCTATCTAGCTGGGAATTCATCCACTATAAATCGGCTGGGCCATGGCTTCAAGTTCGCAAACTGTTTTCATGTTTACCAGGCCGGGTCTTTGGGGAAGAATATCTGCCATATCTGCCAGATCTTCCCAAATATTTCCCAACCACTCTGTTACCCTCTGGTAAACTAACATAGCTATTGGAAATGGCCATTGAAATAGTTGATTTACCCATTAAAAATGGTGATTTTCAATAGCTATGTTAGTTTACCAGAGGGCACTTCCATTCCCATCCTGGCAGCTCCCACAACCCCAACCACCGCACCGTCACGAACTCGTTGTTGGTGAGTTCAAAGGGCAGCCCATTGTCACCTAAAGAGATCCGTCTGGACTGCCGCCTGGAGAGCGGGACTAAGGCCCACATTGGGTTTTTTCTTGAATTATGTATGTACAATATATATATATATATATGTATAAATATATACATATGTATGTATATATATATATATATAATTATATATATATATGTATAGTATATATATATATGTATATTATATATATATATATGTGTACCACCAGATTTGGGATAATTTTGAGTCATGTGGATGCTGGATTTCTTGGTGTTTCTTGGCACTATCGCCCATTGATGACAAATTTCTCAACCCAAAACGAGGTGTTGCAGTTCTCGGTCGAAAAAAATCCGAAAAAAAAAACACAAAAAGCCTCTCGGTCGCATCCGGGTCCTTGGCGGAACATTGAAAGCAGCTGGAAATCCACGGGATGCTCTCGGAAAATGATCTACGTGGTGGTTTGGCTTGGTGGTTTGGAAGTCTGGGAATGAATGATTTTGTGAACTTAGAAAAAACAAAAATTATCAAACCCTGTAAACAATGAAGTCGTTGGAAATAAAGAAAACAAATTTAAAACACCAATGGTTGCTACCAAATGTTGTTGATGACCTAACATATTATATTGCAAACTAAGTTAATTAAAAAACGAAACCACCAAGAGAAATGAATTAACTTATGTGCATCTTGGATTGTATGATCACCAAACCATATGAATATATGAATTGGCAAGCGCCGTTTTCTACAGGTCTTATGTTCTTGTCGATGTCATATTGATGTTGTTTTATGGCCGTCTTATTCGTTTCTAGGACGATGTCAAATCGATCGACAAACGATCGCAAAATGATCGCAAAACAAAGTCGAAATCCTACATCAAAATTACGCATTACAAAATCCACACTTGAAACCCTGGTCTTGCCAACATCAAAACCGCCAAGCAACGAACACTCAGGAAAAATAGAAATTCTGGAAGAAATTGACTTTTCCAGTACAGAAAGCGAAAGAAACATCAGCAAAGACAGATGGCCTAGTGAAAACGACATCAAAATGTACAGATGCTATAACAGTTCTTGTGCGATCAATTTACTTACGATCGATTTGCGATCGATTTGCATCAAAGCGTCTGATGGTTTCCATGTAGCTTACATTTAAAAAAGTCTCGAACATGTTCCCTGTATCTACACCTGGTGCTTGTATGGCGTCTTCTTTGATGGAGTTTCCATGCAGGTTCCATGGAGAATTGATGTAGGTTTCATGGAGGTTTCATGTAGGTAACCGTTGTTTCTTGTGTCTAAACGTGATGGTTGCATGGCGCCTTCTAACTGATGCAGTTTTCATGGAGGTTCCATGCAGGTTCCATGCAGGTCCCATGGAGTTGTCATGGAGGTTACGCACCAGTAAGCTAAATCAGCAAACCCAGCAGCATGTAACCAACATGAAACCTCCATGGAAACTGCATGGAAACTCCATGAAACCTGCATCAGTCAGAGTACAGGATAGGACCGCACTGGAATTTGTTTCAAGAAAAACTGTTTTTTTTCCTGCTTTGCTTTCATATAGATTTTATAGATAGACTAGATAGGTAAGGTCAATTGGATAGATTAGGCATATTAGATAGATCAGATAGAAAAGGTAGACTAGGTAGATTAGATAGATTAGATAGATTAATAGACAGACTTGAAAGATTAGATAGGTTGGATTAGATTAGCTTGGACTAGATTGGAAAAGGTCAGAGAAGATTAGACTAGTTTGATAGACAGATAGACAAACAAATAAATAGACAAATTATACAGATATATGATATATGAGATTGGTTGATAGATTGATAGATTGATAGATTGATAGATAGATAGACAGACAGACAGACAAACAAATAGATAGATTGGATATAATTATTATAGATAGATTGGATATAATTATTAGATAAGTAAATAGATAGACAGACAGACAGACAGACAAACAGATAGACAGATAGATACATAGATAGATTAGATTAGATTAGTTAAACAAAAAACAAAACAAATACAAAACACAAAAACAAAACAAATTCCTTTTTTGAAATCTATTTTGCACATAACTCTGATTTCCCAGACTTCCAAACCACCAACCCAAACCGCCATATAAGTATAACCTGATTCATGACGAAATTTGTCAATATTTAACCCAGAGGGTATGCATTTTGGGGGGGGATACAGACAGATATGTACACAAGGACCTGGAAACAGAAACATGAATTTATATGAAAAAACTCTACGTTTATACGCACGGATATTCTTCGCATTTGTCAATGTGGATCGACCTATCATATGTTCCAACTGAAAGTAAAATCATGGGATTGCTTTCAGGGATTTAGATGGGGAAAACCCATGGTTTCAAACCTCCATGTCCAACAAATCATCCAGTAATACGTATAGCTGGCGATATTCAATACACAACTCGGCTACTGACCATAACTCATGCCAATGTGCATCAATCCAAGAGTTCCTTTTGAGATCATCCAGTGATCAACTATCGCTTCATGTTTGACACTTCGTATTGCTTGGTATCCCCATGTGTCCCCTATGTTCCGAAAACAATAAATATATGAATTCATACTTAATCTCCTTCATGAAAAATACATTGTTCCGCCATAGCTGTTTTAAGCCAGTTACCCTCTGATTATTTAACAGTTCGCCATGGAAGCCATGACCCATAGAAATAGATGGTTTACCGTTGTTAATAGCATGGTGGATCTTTCCATGGCAAACTGTTAGTCATAACCAGATGGTAAATCCCATTATATCCCCTATAAATTCCCATAAATCACCATTAAATCCCCACAAGTCACCATTGAATCCCCATAAATCACCATTAAATCCCCATAAGTCACCATTAAATCACCGTAAATCACCAGTAAACCTCAAATATCTCCCAACGATCATCGCCCAGTGGCATCACTCGAACGCTGCCGCGAGATTTGCCGCAGTTCTGCGCAAATAAGGGCCGATGCGGCCAAGGTGTCTGAAAAATGTCGAAGAAAATGATGAGACCCCAAAATACCCATGAAATAGACCATCTTTCAATAGGAAAATGATGAAAAATGATGCATATGGACAATGAAAATGATCTGCCATAAACCATGCCCAATATCTCCGATACACTAGAAAAAAGGGCTGAAAATCACTCCAAAAGTGAAGGTGTTTGGCCTTGACCATGCTATAAATAGTCGCCCAGTTTGAAGTCCTCCCAGTTTACCCTTCACCAAGGTCATGGTCTTGTTGATGACTTGCCCTCCGGTATTTTTTTCGCAGAATTATAGATGATTCCCCATGAAAATCCCATAAAAATCCCATAATTTTCCAATCATAATGGGATGTTCATGGAATTTTCGCAGTTTGACATGGGGATGTTTCATTACTATGTTCAACTACCAGAGGGCATTTCATGTATTTCATATCATTACTTACTATTGGGTGTATCGCCATGTTGTGTTGTCGGAACCGTATCGACATGCCAAAAAAAACACCGGGCTATAACCAACCATAAATGGCTGTATCACTAATCAGACCATCCCACTTGTACCGGGCTATACCCAACTTTATATTATATTATATTATATTATATTATATTATAATATAATATATTATATATTATATTATATTATATTCTATTCTATTATATTGTATTATATTATATTATATTATATTATGTTATATTATATTATATTATATTATATTATGTTATATTACATTATATTATATTATATTATATTATATTATATATTATTATATTATATATTATTATATTATATATTATTATATATATATATGGTTTTTACTCATAATCATCCCATAATCCTCCAATCATAATCTGAAAATCCCATGGAAACCTCCATTTTTTCACATTTTTTTCGGCTTTTCCCCAGCCTTTCTTCGGGCTTTCCCCGACTTCCCCGGGCCCCGCGGCCCCCGCTTTCCGCGCCTTGCGAGGCCGGGTCCGGGTGTCCGGGCGGCGCGGCGATCGGATCGCCGGAGGTGCTCTCCAGCAGGGGGGGTGGCGTCAGGGACAGGTCCTGGCGATGCTGGTTGGGAATATCCTACTCATGGGATATATACCATCTGGTTATTTAACATAGCCATGGAAAATGGCCCATTTATAGATGATTTTCCCAGCTAGAAACCTCCATGTATAAGGGATTTTCCATGGCTATGTTAAATAACCATATATACTGGTTGGTTACTATATGGTTACTATATGGTTAATATATGGTTAATATATGGTTAATGATGATTAATAATATACTAATGGGATATATGGTGATATTACAGTATTCTACATGGAATTAATAAGGAATTATATAGATGTGGTGATATATATGTGGTTATCAAACAATAATGGTTACTATATGGTTAATATATGGTTCATATATGGTTAATATATGGTTAATTAATGGGATATCTACTAATGTAATATCTAATATATACATGAATATATCTCTGGTTGAGTATGTATATCCATTATTATGGTTGAGTATTAATGGGATATATGGTGATATTACAGTATTCTATATGGAATTAATATGGAATTAATATGGAATTATATAGATATTACCAACAGCATATGGAATTAATAATGGTTATCAAACCATAATGGGATATCTACTAATGGGATATATATATATATAGAGATACTGGTTGGTGGTTGACCTACCCCTCTGAAAAATATGAGTTCGTCAGTTGGGATGATGACATTCCCAATATATGGAAAAATCAAAAATGTTCCAAACCACCAACCAGTATATATATACCCAATGAAAAGTAGATGCTTATCAGGGAATCATCTATTAATAGTAGTGCATTAATATCTATGGGTGGTTTATGACATTGTTTTAACTAACCACATCCTGGTGCATTTTTGATGGGATATGAATATCTATGAATATTGTAGTATCTATTAATAGCTATTAAACAATATCATAAACCATCCCCCAGTCATCACCATAAATCTATTAATAGTGTAATGATAATTATATATGATAATCAATACTAATAGTAGTATAATAGTAGTGCATTTTTTATGGAATATGAATGGGATATATATACAATGGGATATATATATATACAATTTTCTTTTTTAATAGTAGTGGATTTTTGGTGGGATTTTGTTTTACCTCATGATGATGATAAAAACAATGATGATGATAAAAACAATGATGATGATAACAATGATGATGATGATGATAATAATAATGATGATGATAAGAATAGCTATGGTTTAATGTGTTTTTTAATGGACATGTAGCCATTTTAATAGCATGTTAATGGGATATGAATAAAAAGTACCCCCTTTTCTGGGGAAAAAAAACTGAGATTTCATGGAATTTTGCTGAGCATCAAGAACATGGATTCTATGGGATTTTTGAATGGTTTTTTTTTCAATGGGATATGAATAGAGTTGATGCTTAAATTGAAAAAATATGGGGATTTTCCATAATAATATATTCCACTCTACATGTTTATCGGATATAATTGGATCTTGAAAAATAAAATCGATGGTTAGGATGTTGTGTTTACCACATTATAGGCATAAGAGTAGGTCTACTTAGGGCTATAATAATTTTACAATAGTTCGAAAAGGGGTGTAGTGGATCTTAGCTATGTACTCAGGTTATAGAATTAACTATGTGTAGTGATTATAGATTTCTTGTTATAGTATGTTATAGTTGTACGTATACAAGTAGCCTAGTCACTTACCCATTTCATGGGATCAAAAAAGGGATGAAAAAAACATGTGGATTTCAACAACAAAGTAGATATCAAGTCACCAGCAATAATTATATACAGAGGGTTTTTCTAATCGACTGTGGTATTTAGATTATTTAGTACATACTAGATAATAAAAAGTAGACTGGGGTATATGGTTTAGCTCAATACAAAGTAGACTGGGGTATATGTATCCCATTTAATCCAGGATTGAAGCATAAAGCTCCGGTCATCACATGTTTTTGAAAAAAAGAAACCTCCATTTTGGATGAGGATCATATGGTTGGTGTGATCCCCCGAACTTTGCCAATTGATCCATGGAAAGTTTGCCGAAAAAAACGATCCCATTGTGCTGATCGCTGCCAAGCCATCCCTTCGGCTTCGCAGCCAGCCAGGCCGTCAAGGCTCAACACTCGACAGGGCCAGGAAGCCAACATAGCGAAAGTGGCCCGTTGATGGTTACCCGGCCTGGTAAACATACAAAAAACTATGGAAAATCACCATTTAACATAGCTATTGAAAATGGCCATTTATAGTGGATTTACCCATTGAAAATGGTGATGTTCCATAGTTTTTTGTATGTTTACCAGAGAATACCTATTTAAAATTCTACTGCAACAAATTACCACACCGTACATCCATCATTTGCCCTCTAAATTAAGACCCTGGCAAACAGGGGTTGAAAGAGGAGGATAGGTATCTATAGTTTATTTATTTATATATATGTACATATATACATATATATATATATATGTATTATGTGTGTGTGTGTGTTCATGTGATTGTATATATTTTTTAATGTATTAAAACATACATGTATTATATATATATATATATGTATTACATGCCATCCAATATTACCACTGAGCACCGAAAAATCCTCCCTGAGCCACCCGTAGGAGGTCTGCTAAACCGCTGTCGGACGTGTCGTTGCCTCGGGGAAGCTCCATGGCATCTGGTGATATCATGGGTATCTGGTGATACCCTCTGGTAATTTAACATAACTATGGAAAGATCCACCAGTTTTCATGGGAAAACTCACTATAAATGGTGATTTTCCAGAGTTATGTTAAATTACTTAATGAGATATTTAATGGTGATAATGCGTATCATCATGAGGTTTTTTTTTATGATGATATCATGAAAAATGGTGATATCATGAGATATATATATATAGCCTAGCTAATATGATGATCATGCCTCTGATATGGTACCATTGGGACATTTTGATGTTTTCGTTTGATTGAAACATGCAGAATTTGGTGATTTCACAAATCTCATTGGATTGGTTTAAGGGAAAATTTACAGTAAACCTCTATATTTAATGGTAAAAACCCATGGGTTTCCTGTAAATTTTCCCTTGAACCAATCCAATGAAAATCCTAAAATAGAAAGCTACAGTAAAAATTCTCTTCTAACATCTGTTTGGGGTTCCCCATAGTGTGCAACACGCAGTGTGTGTTTATTAACCCCGATTTCGGCATCATATGGATACCAAGCAATCCATGGGGATATCAATCTCGCTGGATCCTCTGGATCCCAACCACCGACATCGAAAAATCTCCAAAAAAAAACCATGAAAGATCCATGAAAAAATTCCTTCCAAAATTCGTCTCGAATTGAATTTGGGTCGGGTTCATCATCCCCGGAAATCATCAACCATCATTGATCAACAAAAAATCCTCATATTTTGGTCATAAAGCCATGTTTTACATATAGCAACCCCAGAAAAAAGATAGAAAAGTCCACTTCTCATCCTAAAATTGCGATGAATAGAATGAATAGAACTTCAAAATCTCCCTTTTCTGGGCCAAAAAATCCGTTTTTCACATTCGACCACCGGCTTTCGGTCCATCAGCACCCCGACGGGGTGGTTGCGGTGAAGCCTCGTCGTGCCTGTAACTCGCAGGAAATCTAGGGTTAGTAAGGGTTAGTACTGGCGAACAACGAGAAAATCTATGTTACCAAGAGAAGTGGTTGAAGAATGAAAACAAACAAGAGCAATGGATAATTTGGATGAAATCCATGGAAGATTGGATGGTTCATAACGGCTCATGGTGTTTTTTTTCGAAAAATCACCAGTAATGAATGAACCATGGATCATTGGAATAGCCTTTGTTCAAAAACCCGGATCTTGTCCCTTGTATAATGGTTGCTTCAAAAAACTACCGCGATTCTCTGATGATTCTGATTGCAATAAATCATCCCATTTATCCATCATTTTTTTCCACTTCTCAGCTTACGCTTACGTGGTGGTTTGGGTTGGTGGTTTGGAAGTCTGGGAAATCACTGTTTACAACATATTTTACTTAAATTCAAAGTATGTACATAATCAATAATTTATAGTTAATTAATTTAGATAACAAAATTGTTCTATATCTGATTCTATTTTTTTAATTATAAGTAAGTTTAATACTATTTATTTACCTATTGATAATTATATATATATTATTATATACAATCAGATGATAGACATGAGATGATACATGAAATAGATGGATAGGTAGGTAGATAGATTAATTAGATGGATGGATGGATGCATGGATGGATGGTGATAGATAGATAGACAGATAGATAGATAGATAGATAGATAGATAGACATAGATTAATAAGACAGAAAGATAGATAATAGGATTGAAAGATTGGTTGATTCATTGATTGATTGATTGATGTCATGAATGAAGACAGAAAGACAGATAATAGGATTGAAAGAGTGAAAGATTCATTGATTGATGGATTGATTTGATAAAGAGATTGATTGATTGATTGATTGATTGATTGATGGATTGATTGATGGATGGATGGATGGATTGATTGATTGATTGTTGATTGATTGATTGAGTGATTGGTTGATTGATTGATTGATTGAGTGATTGGTTGATTGATTGATTGATTGTTGATTGACTGATTGAGTGATTGGTTGATTAATTGATTGATTTGATTGATTGATTGGATTGATTAGATTGATTAGATGGATTAGATTGATTTGATGGATCAGATTGATCTGATTGATTAGACATGATAGGTAACCAGATAGGTAGGTAGATTCTTACATAGATATATATATAGAGTAGATAGATTCAATAGAATAGGTAGGTAGATAAGACAGCCGGACCTGGCAGGAATCGAGCCTCCAAGAATTGTGTTTAACTTCATGTTCCCAAGTTAAATATTCACAACGCCCCATTGCTTGTGTCTTAGTATCTAATCTACTTATCTATCTAATCTAACCTATTGTCTAATGTATCTAACCTAATCTATCTAAGATTTATCTAACTATTTATCTATCTATGAATTCTATGAATCTATCTAGCTATCTATCTATCTGTCTGTCTATCTATCTATCTCTCTCTCTCTCTCTCTGTCTATCTATCTATCTATCTATCTGTCTATCTATCCATCTATCTATTTATCTATCTATCTATCTATCTATCTGTCTATCTATCTATCTAAGAGTCTATCTATCTATCAACTATCTATCTATCTATCTATCTTTCTATCTATCTATCTAAATTAATAATTAATTAAATAATAATTGATTAATACTATCTTAACTCAGTCTGAGTCTGACCGGACATTCAGCCAGTCAGTCGGTCAAATGTCAGACTGTCAGAACTGACTAGAAGAAGGTGAGCAGGTGGGTGTGAGGCGAACTTGGTATCAGAGGCCCGTTGTGAGTTACTTCCACTGACGCACTGTGGTGCCTTGGGTGGGTGGGGTGGGGGGGGGGCAACTTTCATAGTGGTAGCGGAGCATAAGGCAAGAGAGGAAATATAAAACTGTACTATACAGAGCCTGTACACAATCTAAACACTGGCCTTTCTAAACTAATTACATGCACCACTATACATAGATAGGTAGCCGGGTAGGTAGGTGGATAGGTAGAGAGAGAGATATATATATGTATTAAATGATAGATTAGATAAGTAGATAAGACACTCCAACCATTGTGTTTAACTGCTTGTTTGCATGCAACTGTTCCCAAACAGCAGTTAAATTCACAACGCCTCATCCAATGGGCAACAAGTCTTCTGATATTAAAATTAGTTACCCCAGTCAGAAATCAGCAGAAATTTGGCACCAGGAAATAGTTTCTTGTTAATGGGGAAGTAAGTATGTTACTATCTAATCTAATAATCAATGATCAAATGTATCTAATCTAATCTATCTATCTACCTGTCCAATTTGATCTCATCTTATCTATTGTTCTATTATTATCTATTTTTATCTGGTCTTATCTATTCCTATCTATTCTTATCTGGTCTTATCTGGTCTCATCTATCTATCTATCTATCTATCTATCTATCTATCTATCTATCTATCTATCTATCTGATCTATCTGATCTATCTGATCTATCTGATCTATCTGATCTATCTGATCTATCTGATCTATCTGATCTATCTGATCTATCTGATCTATCTGATCTATCTGATCTATCTGATCTATCTGATCTATCTGATCTATCTGATCTATCTGATTTATCTGATCTATCTGATCTATCTGATCTATTTGATCTTTCTGATCTATCTGATCTATCTGGTCTATCTGATCTATCTGATCTATCTGATCTATCTGATCTATGTGATCTATGTGATCTATCTGATCTATCTGATCTATCTGATCTATCTGATCTATCTGATCTATCTGATCTATCTGATCGATCTATCTGATCTATCTGATCTATTTGATCTATCTGATCTATCTGATCTATCTGATCTATCTGATCTATCTGATCTATCTGATCTATCTGATCTATCTATCTGATCTATCTGATCTATCTGATCTATCTGATCTATCTGATCTATCTGATCTATCTGATCTATCTGATCTATCTGATCTATCTGATCTATCTGATCTATCTGATCTATCTGATCTATCTGTCTATCTGTCTATCTATCTATCTATCTGATCTATCTGATCTATCTGATCTATCTGATCTATCTGATCTATCTGATCTATCTGATCTATCTGATCTATCTATGACTATATCTAATTATTTCTATCTGTTTCTGTCTATTAATTAATTATTACTATCTATTACTATCTATTACTATCTATTACTATCTATTACTATCTATTACTATCTATTACTATCTATTACTATCTATTACTATCTATTACTTTATTAATCTATTTTTACCATCCACTGCAATCTCAATTAAACTTATATTAAAATTATAGATTAATAATTAATCTATTAATTATAGTCACGAACTTGCAGATGGAAAAATCAAAAATCACTACAAGTTGAAAAAATGACACATACAACGCCGAGTGCGATCTAGCAGATAGAAATGATAGGTGAAAAAAACTCAACTTTACGTATATATTATACGTTTTCGTCACCTTTTTATGCCTAAAAAACAACAGATAGAACAAAATGTTAAAAAACGGGGATCAAAAACATCACAAAACCATGTATATATATAATCTTGACATTTTCATCGCAGCTCGTCCGACGGGGAACTCAAAAGGCATTTCGCGTATATATATATATATATACATATGTTGAACTCACTTTTCAATCCCAAAAATTAAGATGATTTTTTTTTGAATTTATTCTCCCCGTCGGACCCCTAAATCGAAAAAATGACAGATAGAAACGTTTTGAGATGATTTCATAACATTTTAATACCTTTTTTACATACCGTTTGCTTTGTTTTCCTCCTCTATTTTAAATTGATAGCAATTGATATAGAACGTGACATTTTTACTACTTTTTTACATACTATCTCCTCCCCGTTTTTCTCCCCTATTTTAAACTGATAGACAGTTACATTTTAATACATTGTTATATACCATTTGCTCTGTTTTCCTCCCCTATTTTACATTGATAACAATTGATATAAAAAGTGACATTTTTACTACTTTTTTATATACTATCTCCTCCCCGTTTTTCTCCCCTATTTTACACTGATAGACAGTTACATTTTAATACATTTTTATATACCATTTGCTCTGTTTTCCTCCCCTAATTTAAATTGATAGCATTGCATAACATTTTAATACGATTTATATACTATTTGCTCAGTTTGACTCCCCTATTTTAAATTGACAGCAATTAACATTGCATAACAGTTTCATACTTTGTTATATACCATTTGCTCTGTTTTCCTCCCCTATTTTAAATTGACAGCAATTAACATTGACAGTGACATTTTAATACTTTTTAAATACTATTTGCTCTGTTTTCCTCCCCTATTTTAAATGGGTAGCATTGCGTAACATTTTCATACTGTTTATATACTATTTGCTCTGTTTTACTCCCCTATTTTAAATTGACAGCAATTAACATTGCATAACATTTTAATACTTTTTTATATACCATTTGCTCTGTTTTTCTCCCCTATTTTAAATTGATAGCATTGCATAACATTTTAATACTATTTATATACTATTTGCTCTGTTTTCCTCCCCTATTTTAAATTGACAGCAATTAACATTGCATAACAGTTTAATACTTTGTTATATACTATTTGCTCTGTTTTCCTCCCCTATTTTAAATTGATAGCAATTAACATTGACAGTGACATCTTTATACTTTTTAATATACTATTTGCTCTGCTTTTTCTCCCCTATTTTAAATTGATAGCATTGCATAACATTTTCATACTATTTATATACTATTTGCTCTGTTTTCCTCCCCTATTTTAACTTGATAGCAATTAACATTGACAGTGACATTTTAATACGTTTTTATATACTATTTGCAATGTTTTCCTCCCCTATTTTAAATTGATAGCATTGCATAACATGTTAATTAATACTATTTATATACTATGTGCTCTGTTTTCCTCCCCTATTTTAAATTGATAGCAATTAACATTGACAGTGATAAGTGGCATATATGTTGTTTCACATGCATGAACATGCATATATATATATAAAGCAACAAAATATTCTAAGTATCCTGTTTCAAGTTCAATTCTGGGGATGCCACGGGAAGCAAAAATTTCAATTCCACAGTCTATGTGGGTGGAGAACCTTATATATATATAACTGTATTCACACCTTATTTCTCCATGCTGTAGTACATGTTGATCAGTATTCTTCCGTTTTTCCATTAGTTCACCAGGAGATTTCATCAGTTTTCCTCACCTATTTGATCATTTTATAAAAGGTCTGATCAGTTTTCCAAACCTATTTTAATCAATTTATAACCCAAAAAAAAACATAGTTCACACCTATTTGTTCATTTTATCATTTGGTTTCATCAGCTGTTCCAAGTTTTCCAAATCTATTTCTCCAGTTGATCATTACAGTTTTTCTTCAGTTCTCCAAAGTTTTCCCAACCTGTTTGTGCATGTTATCATTTGATTTCATCAGTTTTTCCCACCAATTTCGGGAAAATATGGAAAGATCCACAATTTTTCATGGGAAAATATGGAAAGATCCACCATTTTCCATGGGAAAATATGGACAGATTCACCATTTTTCATGGGAAAATATGGAAAGATCCACCATTTTCATGGGAAAATATGGACAGATCCACCATTTTTCATGGGAAAATATGGACAGATCCACCATTTTTCATGGGAAAATATGGAAAGATCCACCATTTTTCATGGGAAACAGTTTCACGGCACACATGAAAAATTTTCTATCTGTGATTTTTTGGTCGTTTTGAAATGAAAAACCATCAGAATCAAAATGCTCGGATATTTTTTCCTTCTGGGATTTGTATCCAGAATGTATTCGAGTCTTACAATATCCTTCTCCCTATGTCATTCAGCAACAAGTTTTTAGATACTTGAAAAGATAATGCATAATACACACATTGCAATAGGACGGGAACATGATGAAATCCTCGGAGAAAAGGAAGAAATGGAGAAAACCACTGAAAGCCAGTGATTAAATGAGCCAGGAGGTGGGGAAAACAGATGAAACCGAGTGAGAAGATGAACAAATAGGTGGGGAAACCTGATTGAAATCTCATGATAAAACCAAGGAATGGATTGGCAAAATGATGAACGCCAATGATAAAATGAACAAGTAGTTGGGGAAAACGGATAAAACCTAGTGACTAGTGATAAAAGTCACAAGTAGGTGGGAGAACTCTGATAAAAATGAATGGTACAATGAAGACTTTGGTGAGGAAGATTGACAGTGACATTTTTACTACCTTTTCTATATACCATTTGCTCCCCGTTTTTCTCCCCTATTATTTTTAAATTGGTAGCAATTAATATTGACAGTGACATTTTAATACTTTTTAATATACCATTTGCTCTGTTTTCCTCCCCTATCTGAAATTGATAGCATTGCATAACATGTTAATACTATATAATATTTGCTCTGGTTTCCTCCCCTATTTTAAATTCATAGCAATTAACATTGACAGTGACACGGTGACATTTGAATACTCTTTTATACACTATTTGCAATGTTTTCCTCCCCTATTTTAAATTGATAGCATTGCATAACATTTTAATACTATTTATATACTATTTGCTCTGTTTTCCTCCCCTATTTTAAATTGATAGCAATTAACATTGACAGTGATAAGTGGCATATATGTTGTTTCACATGCATGAACATGCATATATATATATATATAGATATATAAGGATGAGCGAG